CTCATAGTGGACTTGGCTGAACAAAGAGGAAAGTAGCCAGTAAACATTCTGGTTAGGTTTTGCTTTACAAAAAGGAAGATGACAGATGAAAAATATTCCCATTAAAAATGTAACTACATTTTTACCCGAATAAATTAAAACAAATATTAAAATCTTAGCACACATGGGGAGGGTGGAATTGGGGAAGGTGGGATCTGTGGTTACTCGATCAACCATTTCCACTGTATGGTTCCTCCACTGGGGCCCCAGGCCAATTGGCAGAGTGAGGTCTTAGACCCTTACGAAAGGATAGGATAACCTCACATTGGGAGGGGGGATGAGATGTTCCAGAGGGCAGGAGCAACAGCAGAGAAGGCCCTCCTCCTGGACCCCACCAGATGGAATTATGAGGCTGATGGGACATGCAGCATGCCACCTCTGCCGGCACAAGTAGGCTAATTAACGAGCCAATCCCAGTGGGTTGAGATGGTCCTTGGGGGAACCTGGACCCATGCCATGAAGGTTTTAAAGGGGATCACCAACATCTTGAACTGCATCCAGAGGCAACTGGTAACCAATGTAGCTCGTGGAGAAGGTGTTACAGGGGTCATTTGGGGGGGGGGGGGGGGGCAAAACTGCCTGTACCACCGCAGTCTGCACCAGCTGTAGCCTCCGAAAGCTCTTCAAGGGTAGCCCCATTTAGAGTGCATTACAATAGTCCAACTGTGAGATGACCAGAGACTGAGCGCAGGGAGTCCTGATCCAGGAGAGGTTGCAAATGGCACACAACACAAATCACCTAATGGCACAGAGAAAGCCACAGCTAACTCTGGAATCAATAACAAAGTGTAGACACTTGCATCTTTATGAAAATAAAGGTAGGCTAGTCACTTGCATCATAAAACAAGGAACCACAACTTAAAAACTTTTCAACCAAATAAATCCATTTCCTGAACAGGTCATATCTTTCTCTCAGTTAGCAACTCAAGATATAGACCAAAAAGACATTGAGAAAATACAGTACTTTGGGCAAAAGTAACTAGGACGCCGAGTTTTGAACTCCTTCTTCAGTGCAGAAACAAGGGGATTCCTCTTAAAGTATTCTATTTATGTGTGAAGCTTTTGACCCAGGACTTGGCAAAGCTATTAAAACAGATCTGGCCAGACCTGCAAAGACAAATATCTAGATCAGAGCAGGATTATGAACAACTGTACTAAAAGCGATGGAGTGGGAAATAGAAGGCACTGACTTATTGATCAGACAAATTGGTAAGTCAGGTTCCAGTAGTAGTGCCATTCAATGCTACATGCATCATAAGTCTTCTCAGTGTCAAGAGTTTTGTATACACCATTTATGATATCTCACCCTGTTGTCCAGTCTAAAGCCATTAAAATCCAGATTTAATATATCAAACACCTGACAAGGAGGATAAGAAGTGATGACATCACCACCTATGAAACATAGAGTGAGACTAAAAGCCCAAGTAGTTTGGTTCTAAGTCAATTCAAGTGCTGCCATGGTTCATTTTCTAGGTTGTTTTCATAGTCGCTTTTTATATGCTCATTTTAATTTTGTTTTCTATATAAAATAGCACTTCACTGTTACATAAATGCTAATGTGGACATTCAAGAGAAGCAAGAACACTATGCAAACATATCTTTTGTAGCAGAATGTAAAATACATAAACTAATAAGGATAGTTGAGATAAGCAAGTAATAATTAATTGCCTATTAGTTATGAATTAAATTCTTATAATTCCCTCCGTGACTCAAAGAAACACATTTCACAAGAAAGCTCATTAGTTCCTATTGCATTTCAAAGCTGATTTTAATTTAGATAGAAGGTCAGAACACAATGTGTATGCAAGTTTATAATTTGTTCTGCTATATGGATTAGTTTTTCGATAAGTAGATCTAGGATGAAAGAAATATATGTGGCTATTCATTTATGTTCGCCTTGGAAGAGAAAGGATCACAATTCAGTGTTACAGCTAACATTGGCTAAAAAGGCTGAGTGATCCCTGGCGTGTCCTCTGCAGAAAGAGTAGGAACAAAATCCTAAATACAGCTCTCAATTAATCAGTCAATCGATCAACCAATCCAGTATTCCAATTTATTTTGATCAAAGATCAGAAACAAAGTAACATTTGCATCCCAATAAGGTAAAAATAGTCCAGAGACTTATCTGACTGCTTTATTCAAAGTTGCAAATTAACATAGATCACACTGAGTGCACCTATTTTCTATGTTTTTAAACCTCTTTACTCCTTAAGCACATTTTAGATATTTGTTACTTAATAAGTCATGCTACAGTCAATTGATTCTTTATTATTAATATTGTCTTGAAAGGTTATCTTTCTACTACCGGTAAATGCAAACCATATAATGGATGCCTTCTTGTTTTCAATATGGTATTATTTTTATTGTCTCCCATCTTAAATTAATAAGCTTAATCATCATAAAGACTAATGATTTCATAAAGAACCAGCCACTTCAGTTTCTTGTGCTCAGTAAGTATTTTGTGACTGTTGAACTGAAATAAGCATAAATAAGTTGACTAACAAATACTATGCAATCCTGGAAAGACAATTTTCAGGTATTATTATTTTCTTTGAATTTATTCTATTAAAATTGTTGTTGACAAATCACATTGCTTGTCATTTTCTAAAACTTTTTCCTAAACCGTTAACTTAAAAATGCCCAAGAGGTAAGCCCTGATCCATATTAAAAAGGGGGCAGTATTGATATGGTAACATTCTGCTATGGGATGTCTCTATTCAGTCCTGTAAAACGTCACTGAGCCTTCAACAAGGCCAAGCCTTGAAAAAACTCACTTAACTTGGCTAATAACAGAGTTCGTCTACAGCGCAGGATATCAGGAGGAAAAGGGGTGTGGCTGTCAAAAAAAGTCAAGTTGGTGTCTCTTCCTTTTTATTCATAAAAAGGAACATGTACCTCCATCACCATTACTAGCCCTGAACACCTCAACTTTCTCAAGTTTGCCTGTTGTGGAGGGCAAGACCAAAAGACATAAACTTTGACTGGTGTGATGGCTTATTTTTTGGTTGGATATTATAATTTGATTATCATAGGATTGCCTATTTGATCTTAAGTTAAGCAACTTTAAGAATCCATTCATAAATCACTATTCAAAAACTTGGATTATTAATTACAGTTTGTCACAGCCAGATGTTCAGGCAGGATTTGGCATTTCTGTCCACTTATCAAGTCCTTCCAACTGTGCTACTCCACTCACTCACATACACAAGTAAATGTGGTTTAGTGAGTTTATTAATGTTCCCCAGCACTTCCCTTCACCAAGACTCAGAACTGTCCCAATTAAGTCCAGCCACATGTTAGCCAAGATTAGTCCATAAAGCAATGGCCCAATAGTCCATAAAGCAATTGAAAGTTGCTCAAATAACTCCACTAAACAAAGTTAAATCCACCAGGCAAAACTTAAATCCACACATGAGAGCTCACTTGGCAAGAAAAGTTCAGTCTTCAAGGCATAATTCCAAACACGGTGTCAATCTAGAGTGAAGTAGGAATCACGACGATCAAACAATAGCTAGAAAACCAATACATTTTTCCAGCAACACCTCCCTCTGTCTGCTGTCATAAATAGCCAGCTTTCCAGTGCATCCCATCAAGATGAGTGGGGCCTTCTCCTCATGAGTAGTCTGGCTCACTTCTGTTGCCCTTGCCTTTTCTCTGCTCTGTGTGTTTTCGAATCATGAGCAGAAGGCAGTTCCTCCTCCATTCAGAGCCATTAACCAACTCAGTTCCTGTTGTGCCAGGAATGGGCTCATTCTCCCTTGATCTGAGAAGGAATCCGGGGAGTCATCCAAGAGAGACATCACACAAACAGACCTGAGGTAGGCAGATGTGGATGTTTGATTATCTTAAAAGGTATCTTCGCAGGATGTAAGCTGTTCCAAGCAAAGCTGCCTTTTGCAATTGACTCATGGTGAATTTGTAAAAGCTGATGGTGTTCAAGTGGTGCTCCAGTCATTTTGGGATTGCACCCAAGATGCAATTGGTACTACCTTTGTTTTCTTTTGCCACAGCCATTCTATTTTTATTTGCAGGTCTTTGTATTTTGTTATCTTCTCCAGTTCTTTTTCTTCTATTCTGCTGTCTCCAGGTACTACCACATCCAATATCCAGACATTTTGTTTTTCTTATCAATAGTTGTCAAGTCTGGGATGTTATGAAGCAGATGCCTATCTGTTAATTATTATCATTATCTATTAAATTTATATGCTACCCATCTCTCTATAGAGAAACTCTTACAGTTCATAAGTTTATCATATGAATAGATAAGAAATTAACTGAATAATAGAAATATTGCAGAAAATGGATATAGCTTAGTTTCTCATTTTCAACAATAGTTCCAGTAGCTGATTGGCTGAGGAAACTATGGGCTACTAAGTGGTTGTGGTGGTGCGGAACCTGGAACAATATTGGATTTTATAAAACTCTATTGCCTTTTTAGCTCCTTGGCTCTTGCGTGTGAATCACGTTGAAAACAATTAGTAATCAGCAAAATGACCTTTACCACCAATCCAGGCATATGGGGGACACTGATCTGGATCTTTGTTTATTGAGAGAGAGGGGGAGAGAAACACAGAGAGAAAGTATGTTCAAATAAGCAATTAATTTACTATTTTTTCCAGGAAATGAGAGAAAAGACATATGATATAAAGTTCAATATTCTCTCTGGAATTCAACCCTAAAACTTTGAATTATCCTCGTAGCCAGAATACAGTAGATGGCACGGTAGTTCAATTCAAGTGGGCAGAGCAGCTTTTTAAACATGCAGTATTTGCTTTTTTGCGGTATCCTGTGAATCAGAATTTTGATGGGAACAATTAATTCACTTTTCCTACTGAAAACTAGAATCTTTAATCATTTAAAGGCATTTAAGGTATGAATAGGCAATATTAATTTGACCCCTTGCTGTTTCATCTCTTTTAAAGCAGCCAACATAATATCCATGTAGGCAGATAACAACTCACACAGAAAGCATGCAAAATTACTGCTCCGTGCCGCCGATCTTCATTTGTAAAGATGTCATTAGGGAATTCACGGAGAGCTGAGAAGGAAAAAGAAAAGAAAATCAAAACATTAGAAATAGTTGAATTGTAGTAAAGATATGTTAATTAAACAAGCAAAGTAGTTTTATAGTCTGGCAATCATTGTATGTTCCTCTATTATAGAAACTGTCCTACATTGCATGTTATTACCAAGCTACTTCATTTTACATCTTAGTGTAAATATGTATAATGAAATTTGATGTTATAATAACCAGGCTTGAAAGATCTATCAAATTCTTAAAACAATAAAATTATACTTACAATACTGGTCATAATTTAGAAGCACTTTGAAAAATTTATAATCTCTACAGATTCATTGCTGATTTTAGCAGTTTGGAGCAATTCCCAAACAGGTGGATTTACTTATTTCAAAATCTGTACTAACAGAGGATATATTAACTGGGAAACAGTGATGGCAATTGTACAGTGAATGGGGCTAAATTTATTATTTTCTCACTATCACTGCATATAGTACTAATTGTGGGAAAATAATAGAACACTTTATTGCCCAAGTGTAAAGACACACAAGGAATTTGTCTCTGGTGCAAAAGTTCTCAGTGTACATGCAAAGCAACAGAGTAACAATAATCATAATCATAATAATATCAATAATGGGATAATAAAGAAGATCGGAAGGATAATAATAATAATAATAATAATAATAATAATAATAATAATAATAATA